GGAAGAAAAGTGTTCCAATCTCTATGACGTTATTCTGCTGAAAGAAGTCTGTTTTAAAAAAGTATTTACTGGAGTTCCAAATTTGCATAAAAAGAATATAAAGTCTTGTGGATCACTTCCAAGTGTTTTGTTAGGGTGCTACTCGCTCCCTGTCTGTTCAGACACTTGATCCTGCAGCAGTAAATGCCTCCTATCAGATCCAAAGAAATAAAACACCTTCTCTAAGACACTAATTAGCATTCTCTATTTTTGCAGTTAATTAAGATAATAGTATTTTTCTTGGTGTTGATTCATAATTTATATTAAAAAGTCAGATTTACTTCTATAGTATCTTGCACTCAGAAATTGCTTATATTTCCTATAACCAAGAATTATACTTGCAGTTATATTTTTACAGTGAATCAAAATTACAAATAGTTCTAAAATTATATATGTAATACTTCGCAAGCTCACGCCATCTTGAATGCATTTCAAAATTACAAAGCAGAAGAATAAAACTACTATGTATATATAAGCCTGTCTTTAGAATTGGAACAGTTTATTCTTACTTTGTTTTAGAAATGTAGGAACAGAACTCAACACAGATCACAGTTGTAAAAAGCCTTAAATCTGTTTCAAGATTAAATGTGGAAATACCAAATAGTAGGCATTGCATTTAAATGTATGTCCTACAAAGAGCCACCTAAGATGCTGTATGTACACAGATTGAGACTGTATTAAAAATTATGGCCTGCTTAAAGTGTGGTCAGTGGATTAAGAAAATACTTATGTTCACTTCTTTACTATTTTTCCTCACTCCAGATGGAATAACAAGGCCTCAACCCTAAGGAGCAGCAGGTCTTGAGTGAAAGATGTGACTTTGAGTGCATCTAGTGAGCACTCTGTGCAGGAAGCTGCCACAGAGGACTGACAAACTGTAGATGGTGATGCAGGCAAGAACAGAGGAACCTTCATGCCTTGGAACTCAGATTCTGAGAGAGCCTACTGGTACCTGCAAGTAAAGAGGAATGGCAGTTCTCAGCTGCAGTGGGCCCTACTCTTAACATACTGCTAACCAAGACCTTTTTTTAAAATTATTTTTGGTCTAGTCATAAGGCAATTGTTCCTCCAAACTGAGACATAAGATCAAATCATAGTCTTATTGGAGGTCATTTTGTCTACATAAATCATAGTCATTGCAGTGTTGCAATGAGATAGTGAGGATATATTAACCAGCAGCATTGCAGTGATGAGCAATATTATTTCATTGGCAGTCTTTCAATACTACCTTCTCTCTAGAGCTAAAGATAATGTACTGTAATGCTGTCTACTTTTTGAAATAAGGGAGCCTTTTAATATTTATTTAGGAATAGAATTTTAGCAATATATGAAGAATATTGGCATTGTAGCAAATTATGGTAATTTGGTGAGAACAAAAACATAGTCACCTGAAAAACCAACTGATTTTAACTGTATGACTTCTCCTAAGGTAGTTTAATCATCAAAGCATCAGTAGCCAATACATAGCTTCAAAGACAGGAAGTGACATTTTTGTAAAAAGAAAGGGCCAATCATGTGGTATGATTAAACACTATCAGTGGAAAAACTCTGATAAAGATTTGTATTTTCATGCTTCAGATATAGTCAATACTTCATTGAACAGCAAGCAGATGACTGAAAGCACTGAAACACTTCTGGCAGTGCTCATTAATAGAGATGAGAGCAAAATTAAAATTATCTCTGAGTCTGGAGTGGCACTTACCAATGAAGAGTTGCTATGATTTTTGGAGTGTATTTTTGCTAGTTGTCAAGGCTCTGCATGTTCAGTAACAGTAATGATAAAGATGATGTGTTGTTAGAAGCTAAGAAGGTCAGCATTTGCTGTATTACCTTTCCAGGCAGGTTTTCGTTTTCCTTCTCTTTATTGAGTCATGTCATTTCCAAACAAACAAGCCAAACATACTATAACTGCCTTAAAATTTTCTGCAGAAGGCCAGACGAAAGTTCTGTTAAATTTCTCATGATTCTGCTTCATTTACTATGCACCTACTGGAATTGCCTCAGCTGAACTATTCCAGGGATGCCTTTTGAAGATCATCACAATCATCTTGACTTTGAGAAAGCTGAGGCTTAGGGACTCTAAGCAGGGACAGGCATTGTTGTCATCTACCTTGATTTTCCTTGTATTGCTGCAGTAAGCGATTAAATGCTGATTGAAACTGACTGCTCTCAGGAGCTGTGAAAGTCACTGGATATGTCTCATAAAAAGTCCAGACTGCTGAAGGAAAAATTTGGTGCTGCTGTATTAACCGCGTGTACGGACGCTCAGCCCTGAGCATTGTTTTTACAACAGAGCCTTCAGACAGTATGACCTCCTGTAGGATCAGCAAATGACATTCCATACCTGTTACACCTGGCAGTTTGTAGTCATTGAAGTTGTTAGAAGAGAGTAAAAGTGCTCTTATCTTCCTAAAGATCCTCTGAGTCTTGAAAAAAATGTGTCTTGTCAAGCAATACAGGGAGAGCTTACCGTGGTTGACTGCAGCCAAGTTGGACAGATGATTGCCTGACCTAGAGGGAAAAGGATGTGTGTACTTCTTATGAATTTACTATTTTCTGTGGTATAAATATTCAACTACAATACTGCATTGCATGTCTGGAATGTTGTACATCATTGATGCGGAAAGTTGTCGTGTCATGCCTGTTTCTTCCTTGCTCCAAAGATGGAGGAACATTAACTGGTGAACTTGCGGAAGGACCATTTTGTGCAGTGATGATTTTTCAGTGTTGCTTGTGACAAAGTTTGTATAGTGTGTTCAGTGAACAAGATAGTGGCTAGGAGTGGTCTAGGACAGGTGGACACTGTATTGAGAGTAACCCTTTACAGAGGAGTATTTGAGCAGGCTGGATTTGTGGAGTTACAGCTTTTGTTCACTATGTCACTTCAAAGTGATAGACTTCCACAATAATTGTCCCAGACCAGTGTAAAAAAGGTTGGTGTGATTTCAAAATCTGTTTTTTTTCCCCACAGATGTATACATATATGGTAAAGAGAGCTTATAGTTTGATTTTTTTTTAATACTCTCACTCATAAAAAAAAATACAGGAATCTGTCATAAAAATACTAGTTATCTCTTGGTTTTATAACAAACCAAGCATGGCATAGAACAATGAGCAGATAGTAAGAACATGAGTGAAATGGATAAACATGGAATCACTAAGGTTGGAAAAGACTTCTAAATTATTAAGTCCAATCATTAACCCAGGACCAGTGTTCACCCTTAAACCGTGTCCCCAAGTGCCACATGTGCACTTCCAGGGATGGTGATTCTACCACTTTCCTGGTGTCTTGGTTTGAAAGACAGGTGTTTGCCAATGAAGGCAGGGACCCCCCCTTGGAGTGGTGGATATGACCCCACTTCCCTCCGAATTGGCAGCCTGTGTCAATGCTTGGCCATCCTTCCAGTGAAGAAATGTTTCCTCATATCCAAACTAAACCTCCTCTGGCACAACTTGAGGCTATTTCTGCACATCCTGTCACTTGCTACCTGGGAGGAGACCAGGTAGCAACCGACCAACTCCTGGCTACAAATTCCTTTCAGGCAGTTGTAGAGAGTGATAAGGTTCCCCCTGAACTTCCTTTTCTCCAAGTTTAACAGCCCCAGCCGTAAATGGTAGGTTAAAAGAGAAAGCATGTCTTATTATGAGAGTATGATGTGGTTAGTATGTTGTTGTTTGTTACAAATCATGCTTCCAAAATAGTAAAAAACATGTAAAGATGGGAAATCCGAAAAAATGAATTATTTCAGACAAGGCAGTAGCTTTATTAGAGATTAGAATATTATACATTGTTGCAGTGGAGCGATGCATAATAAATATTTTCTATCAGAGGCTGTGGCTACAAAACAGACTTTGAACCATCTGTTAGAGGTCTCATAGCATATATGGCAGATAATAAAGTTAGCATTTTTCTCTGTAATTCACTTGTCTAAACTCCTCTGGTTGAATGCTTTTTTGGCATGTCCTTTGATAGTTCTCTCCAGTTCCAAATCAGAGTGATATAAATAATATTAGTACTAACAATGTACTCCTTCACAATTATTTATCCATATAATTGGGTTGTATTGGTTGGAAAGGATGAAGAAAGGGTTTGGTTTAGAGAAATGCAAATGATATTGTGAGTTTTTGTGGTGGTAATATGTGGGGGGTGACCAATGGCTGAATCTTGTTACTGCAATGACAAACTAACCTTCCAAAATTTAACGCTTGGTCTCAGTCTTTACACTGTGGAAATATAAGTGAAGGTGGAAGGCTGAAATTGCATATTCTTAGCCAGGACATCACTTGCTATCCTAGATTTCATCTGCTTAGATAAGTTTTGCTTGACAAAGAACTTTATTTTCACGTGTGTGTTGAGATGTTGGACAGATCTACTCCTATAGAAGAATGATTGCTAAGGAAAAGGAAAGTTGTTATTACACATGCAGTTTATTAATTTACTGACACAGAAGAATGGGGCTTTGAAGAATGTGGAACTTTTCTTACCAAACATAGGTTAAAAAAACCAAACCCAGCCTTTTTTTTTTTGTCAGAGAACAAATGCACAGTCATTTTCTATGCACCTTTCTTAGTGACTAATACTTTGGTTATGAAACTGAAAATATCATTTAAATGCTGCTGTTTAAATGCTCACCTATAAGGTGAGTCTTTATATGCCATGCTTTCTCAGTCTAAATTTTCAGCATATTTAATGTTGCTTTTTTATTTTCGCTTTATTTTCTTCTTGCTTATGAGCAGATATGCTTCCTCCTTTAAGAAAGGCTTTCCGCAAAATGTGTAGACGCCAGAGTTTTTATGTACTGTAGCTAGAGATGAATGGAGCTAGTGGATTGCTGGGGCTAGTGTACATCTGCAGCTGACAGCCCGAGTTTTGCCCTGGCACCCGTGCCGAGGGAGATCGGTGACCTGCGCACGAGGTAGTTCGGAGGAGTTCTTTATTTACTTGGCCAGCATCGCATAATCTTTGTTAATCAGCGAAGGCGAGGGAAACCTCCAGTGGTTAGATAGACCACAAGCTGGGCCGTCTTTGGCTGCACGTTGGGAGGCGAGAGATGGGGGCGATTGCACCGCTCCCATGCAGACTGAGGCTTTAGCTTTTGCTGGAGGTCCGGAGGGGTGTGAGCCGTGCCCCGGGGTGTGGCGCGGCGCGGGGGGCTCCCCGGGCCGGCTGGTGCTGGCTGCGGGCGCTGGGTGCGGGCGGGCCGGCCATCGCCGCGCTGCCGCCGCCGGGGCCGTGCGAGGGGCGCCCGCAGCGCTCCATGCGCAGGGTGCGGGGCGCTGGCCCGCTCGGCGGCTGCGGCCGGGGACTGCTGGTTCTGGGGTGAGTGTGGCGGAGGGGCCGGGGACTGCTGGCTCTGGGTGAGTGTGGCGGCGGGGCCGGGGGCTGCTGGTTCTGGGTGAG